TGGCACGGTGGGTCCCGAGCGGGTAGAAGGGCAGCACGGGTTGGGGTGGGTGGGTGTACTCCCAGCCCATTCGGGGGCTTCCCTCCCCACTCCGTGTTGTCCTGTGTTGCTGTCTTGGTGCCCAGGAGGCCAGCTGGGGAAGGGAAAGTCTGACCCCTCTTCCTGTCAACAATGACTTTCTGCCCAGAGCTGACCCCTCTGGGGTGAGTCACCGGGAAGGGCAATCAGCCTCTGCCAATGGAAAGGAAGTATCAGTGTGTGAGCTTTCCTTCCGCAGCCCAAGACTGCCAGGGGCCTGTGGCTAGATGACGGCCTTCCATGGGAGAGAAGGGCTCACAACACCCTGCTGGGGCCCCCCAAAATGGGGGTGGTCTCTAGTCCATCTGGTGCCCTTAAACATAGCTTTGGCCATGTCAAGCTCGTTTACAATCTTTGGAGGCTCTTCACTTCCTCTAGAATAAAATCCAAATACCTTAGGTTGGCCCCAACCTCCCTTTTTGACCTCGTTGCCCTTCATTTCCCTCATGCCCTTGGCTCCAATCAGGGTGGCCTCCTCCACTCCTGAATGTGAGAGCACCCACAGCCACCTCCACTCTTTTGCTTTTGGCATGCCCCTTGGGGGCTCCAATGTCTTTTCCTTTCCAAATGTGCCCATACTTTAAACCCCATTTGCACTCTCACATCATCCATCCTTTCAAAAAATATTTGTTGAGTGCCTTTATGTGTCAAGCCCTGGGCCAAGGGCTGAGGTTTCTACCACCAACAAGCTAGACAAGGTAAGCATTCAGGTTTGTGGAGGGTACAGAGACATACACAGGCATTTGCAATGTAGCAAGGGGGGCTCAGGGTGCTAGGGCAACACCCGGGAGGAGCACCTGGCCCCACCTCGAGAAGATCACGGAGGACTTGCTGGAGGAGGTGACACTGCTGGTTTCTTAAGGAGTAAGGAGGAGTCAGGTAGGCAAGGGAACCAGGGAAAGAAGGGGGCAGCAAGGATGTTGGGACCAGCAGAAGAGGAAAGTAGGAAGGCCCGAGGCAAGCGATGGTACATTCTAGGAACTGAATGTTGGTCATAAAGTCTGGAGTCTAGGGTGCAAGGGGCATGGTGGGAGAAGAGGCTGAGAGCTTCCCAGTGGCTCTGTACCGTTTGGACTTCATCCTCAGAGCCATGAGAAGCCGATGCAAGGGCTATTATTATTACAGCAGAGGCTCACACTGAGCAGACTTGCACCTTAGAGGGTCCAGAATTACTACAGCGAAGGCTGCAGATTGGAGGAGGGAAGGGAGCTGAGGCACAGAGGGAGTGTCCAGAGCTCCTCCCAGCTAACAGGACTTGATGATTGCCTAGCTGGGGGTGGCAGGGAGAGCAGTCAGCATGGCTGCCAGGTTTCTGATGAAGCAGTGGGGAATTTGGCTGCGAGGAGCAGTCTGTGGGTAAGAGGATGATGAGTGCAATCTTGAATGTGTTCAGGTTGGGCTCTCCGAAGGGCAGTCAAGGGCAAGCAGGTGCCCCCCCCCGCCCCCCGGCCGGGGGTGGACAAAGCTAGATCTCTGGACAGAGAGAGGTCCGTGTGGAGGGATTGACTTGGAGGCCCTGGGTGTATATGGTCATTGAACTGGGAGACGATGAGATGCCCCCCTTCCATGAAGCCTGCCCTCGCCCTCCAGCTTACTGTACCCAGCCCTAGTCCTCCCTTGACATCGTACATGCTGCCTTGTAGGATTAGTTGTCCTCTAAGTATGTCCCATCTTCCTGATCAGAGAGTTCTCAGAGGTCAGCCATTTAGGAGACCCTTGCAAAGTCCTCATAGCAGGGGTGAGAGCCTGACCCAGAGAGAGAGGGGACAGATACAAGAAATATTTTAAAAGGGGTTTTAGTGAGGCTCATGATTGGCTGGGTGTGTGGGGTGAGGGAGAAAGAGGAGTCCTAACTAATCCCAGTTCACTGGCCTGGGGGTTAGTTTAGAGGACAGGAGGAGGGACAGGCTTCAGGAGGAGGAAAACAGGTTCCGTTTTGGACCCATTGATTTTGTAGTGATGCCTGAGGAAGGAACCTTTAGCTGGAGAAGTCCAGAAGGTCACAGGACCCTGGAGTCTGAGGCTAGGAGGAGTCTGGAGTTATACATGAAGCAGCCTCATCCACCACCCCTCTCCCTGTGCCAGCCACATCGGCCTTCTTTACAAGCTCATTTCTCACCTCAGGGCCTTTGCACTTGCTTTTTCCTCAGCCCCAAACACTCTTTCCTTCCACATTCACATGGCTTGTGCATACAGATAAGTCGGATCCCTCTGGAGTAGCCCCTTACCCCATCACTTGCTCTCTGCTTATTCTGCTTCAGTTTTCACCACAGCATGGATCACTCTCCAACCTTCTGTTGTGACTCGTTTATGTGTTTTTCTGTCTCTACACCTGGAACTTAACTTCTTTGAGGGCATGGGTTTGGTCTGTCTGCCTCACCTCGAAGGCACCTGAGGGGTGTTCAGTGCAGGCAGCTGGTAAACACAGGTGACAGAATAGCTCAGCGGGGAGGGGACCACTGTGCCAGCAGCAGTGGCCGAAGGGTGTGGAGTGGACACGGAGTGGGAGAAGGGTTGGGGCAGAGGCTGACACCTCAGGCAGGGGAGAGGAGCCCCAGGTAGTGTGTGCAGGGCCAAGATGCCCAGGGAGTGCAGAGTCCCAGCAGGAGGAGGGGACCCAGAGAGCTCTAGGCTAGCAAAGCCCCTGGGAGCAGGCTAGTGGAGTGCGGGGGCTGGACCCCGGACACAGTGAGGAATGAGCTGGGAGGCTGGAAGAGAAGAAGAGCTGCTAGACACTGTTCCAGCTCCCCAGTGGAACCTGGGGGTGGGGACGGAGGTACGGGGGCGTCAGTGGTGATGAATGATGATCATAGCCTCCGGCCGGCTCTCCTGGCCCCACTTTGGCAGTGAACTCCCCATGCAGAGTAATCTCAAAAGTGTAAATCAGATCATGTCACTCCCCTGCTCAAAAACATTACTTAGAACAAAACCCAAACTCCCTAATGTGATAAACAAGGCCCTCTGGGCCCTGGTCCTGCCTTCTCCTCTGACCTCATCCCCCCCCACGCTGGCCCTGCTCACTCCACTCCAGCCACACGGGCTCCAGGCTGGTCCTTGGGCCAAGACCCTCCCTGCCTCTGGGCATTGGCACTGCTGTTCCCCCTGCCTGGAATGCTCTCCCCAGATTGTCACCTGGCCCTCTCCCGCCTTGCAGTCAGGTGTCTGTCCAAATGTCACTTCTTCCGAGAGGCTTTTCTTGAGCATCCTAAGAGGGAGCTATCCCATCTTCTGCTGCCTTATCCTGCTTTATTTGTCTGCATGGCCGAACATTGTATCTAGTATACATTAAATATGTAGTTATTTGTCAGTTTCTTACTCACCTTCCCTACTGAAGTGTAAGGTCCAGGAGGACACGGATTTTTATCTGTTTTCTTCACTGCTACACCTTTTTTTTTTTTTTTTAAGATTGTACTTATTTATTTGAGAGAAAGAGTGAAAGAGCACAAGCAGGAGGAGTGGCAAAGAGAGAAGGAGAGGCAGGCTCCTACTGAGCAAGGAGCAGGACCCTGGGATCATGATCTGAGCTGAAGCCAGACACTTAACCAACGGAGCCACCGAAGCGCACCTCACTGCTACATCCTTAGCACATAGAAGAGTGCCTAGCACATAGTAGGCATAGATAAATACTGTGTGGGGTGGATGTCTGAATAAATGACTAACTGAATATCTCAAGCAAATTTGCAAAGAGTCCTTATATGCGGGGGCTCTTCAGCGCAGCTTTGCAGAGGTCATAGTCTCCTTGTACAGAGAAACAAGCCCAGGCTCAGAGCAGTTGAGTGGCTTTCCCAGATGGAGCCAGAGCCCAGGGAGGTGAGCGCAGCAGGTGAGCACAGACCAGACCCTCGGCTCTTCTCACGGGGCCCTGTGGACCTTCTATGGAGAGAACTAGCCTAGCCTCCCTTGCTTTCTCCTGGTTTAGGTGGGGCGATGAGAGGAAGACTGTGAGGGGAATAAAAAAGGGCCAGGGAGAAGTGCTGGGAGGGGAGGAGAAGGAACCCAGGAGGAGCCAGGAAGGGCAGGGAATGCCTGGGAGGGGTTGGGGTGTGGGAACCATGGGAACCATGGAACCGGGCTGGGTCCCAAGCCCTGAGGGACACCTTGGATCCCCGAAGCCCAAGTCTACCTCCAGGGGATAAGCAGGGATTTGCCTCAGGAAGGGATGTCCCTGCTACTGAAGTGCTGACCTGGGAGCACTTTCTTCCCTCCACCCCTCCCCTCAGAGCTGCTGGGAATTCCCCACTTCCTGGTAGGAACCATAGAACCCTGGGGGGAATTTCCTCAGGCCCGGAATGTGGGACACCTTCCAGCTTTTATTAGAACTTCTTCACGCTCTGCATAACAACTTCTCCTGGCTCCCTGCAGATAAATTTGGAGAGGGTGGGTTGAAAGGAAAGGACAGAGTCTCCTGGGGACCTCTGTACCTGCTCGAGGAGCAACCCTTTCCCCTCACATCTCCCCACACTTAAGGAATGGGTCCCCTCCATCCGGCTGTCCTCTCCTTAAGGTGACTCAATGGCAAAGGCGCACCTCTAAAACCAAGATGGGGCCCAATCCCAGCTGGGGGAGGAGGCTTCTGCTGGTGCATCTCAGTGCTCCAGTCCATTTTTCCAGTGAGTCACTCTGGCCAGCTCCCCATAGTTCCTGACCCTGCCTCTGCTTGCTGGAAGCTTCCCTTCCCTGTGTCCGGGGCCACATGCAGGAGAGAGTGGCTATAGGGTGGGCTGGGGGTGGCGTCAGTCAGCCAGGCTCAGGGGCCCCCGGGACAAGCTGTGACCCACTGGTGCCTGGGTCTAGACAGCAGTCACGTGAATTGTGAGCACTTGTCTGGTCTGAGACACCTCCCAGGCCAACTGTTTACTCACAGGTCCCCAGAGCACTTGCTGCTTCTGAGCAAGTCTTTCTCTCAATTCATTGCAGCAAATGTTGACCCTGCCAGACCTCATGCAAGGCATTGGAGGGAAGAGGAATGAAAGAATGAAGAAGACACAGCCTTCAGAGAGCCTGAGGTTCATACTAACAGAACAGATCACCTAGGGGGCTTTTATGACACACCAGGCTCTGGGCGGGGGTGTGGGGACACAGATGAATAAAACATCTTTCGGAACTCAAGCAACGTAGGTTCTGCCTGGGGAGACAGGTGTACGGGGTAACTCCACTACATATAATGGTCTCTTGCCCATCTCAGCGTGCGCCCCAAGGCTCTGTCATTGCCTTTCAGCTAGCCAGCACCCCCACCAGGACATGAGCACCTTGAACGCAGGGGCTGGTGTTCTCTCTTCGTATCCTCAGAGTCCCACACAACGAAACATATTTGCAAGGTAAGTTACACAAAGGACTTCTAAACAGCTGATTGTATCACAAGACTGAAAATAGATGCTAAATAGAGATCTTGGCAATTTCCTGCCATTGTTGTAGAGGAGGGAGTTAATTCTGAATGTGAGGATCAGATAAGGTGTGATCAGCTAAGCCCTATAGGATGGAGGAGGAGAATGAATGGGAAGAAGGAGGTACCAGCTGAGGCAACAGCAGGTACAAAGCCCCAGAGTCAGGAAGAAATATGGCCTATTACAGCAAATGTAAACTAGCCTAGAGGGACTGGTACACGGTGCATGGAGGGAGGAGCAGAAGATGTGGAGGCAAGGTCATGGGGCAAGGTCAAGAGGAATCATGAAGACCATGGTAAGGAGTTTGATCTTTGGTCTGTGGACACAGAGATCCTCTGGGAAATATTAAGAACAGGAGTCATGGAGACTAAGCAGTGTTTTGGGAAGATTATACTGATGACTGTGAAGGGTCTATGTGGTGAAAGCATTGCTAGGAGTGTCTTCTCTTTGGCCTTGGCCTCTTGAAGAGGGGGAGAAGCTGGGGAAAGTCGGGATGGGGGATGTGCAGAGAAATCACTTGGGAAGCCAATGTAATGTTGGGAGATGGATGACAATGATATGAATCAGAACAGGGGTACTGGCAATAGAAGAGGCAGAATGAGTGACCAATTCGATATAGAAAGTCAGACTGAATTTTCTAGCCAGAGTGTCCAAAAGAACACAGAGAAGGCATAGGCTCTTGGGGTTGGGGGAGGAAGATGAGGCATGCTAGTCTGGGTTGTTACCAGTACTGGCCCCTTGGGCTCCTTAAGTAACATTGAGAAGAGAAGGACTCTTAGAAGATTCTCTTAGTCCTGCTGCCCTATTGCCAACAGGCTGGATGCCTTCAGCCTAGGAGGACACGGAGGAATCCATTTTGTTCAAAGCTCACACAAAATCTCCCAGTCCCCTCCTAGTTTTAGCCACCACCACGTCCCCTCTTCCCACCCACCACCATAGCAACCCACGTGGTCTGACAAACAGGGATGCGTTGCCAAGAAGCAAGATTTGTGGAGGACCCAAGAAGCAAGATGTGTGCTGTCACTGTGGATGATGTCAGCTTCCATGATGTGACCCAGCCCATACCCTAGTCTCTTAGTAGCTTGGCTTCTCTATCTGACAACCTTCTATCCCACTGTGTCATGGCCACCCACTTCCATAACTACTCCCCAGACTTAGTCACTACCCAGAACTCCCCCACCTCTGAAATTACTAACTCTGACATCCTTCTATCCTCTCCTCGTATTCACTCAATCATTAGCCTGCACCTGTCTTCTGTGTCCATCCGAAGCACCTGTCCACGGCCCCCCCTTCCTCCCTGTCCTTCCTCTTTCTTCACCCTCATCTCTCATGGCTTAGATTGTGTGACTCAGAATTTCATTCATCCTTCCCTTGTATGTAAATTCCCCTTGGTTGCACCACCTGGCAAAAACCCAACTGTAGGTCAATGAGCTCTGTTTTTCCTCTGAACTGTACCTATGTCGGGGGTGATTTCTGCTTAGGAAGACCACACCAACAAGCTGACTGGATCCACATCACTGGTGGTCACCAAGCCCAACCAGGTCCTTAGCACTGCCTGCTGTGTTTTCCCTGGTCAACACCTATTCAACTCCTTATACAACCACCTTTTAAAACCTTATCCCCCTTCAACCCTTCTACATGTTTACCTCCATCTTCATTCTCAGTGGATGATATCACCTCTTCCTTCAAAGACAAAATAGGAACCTCGAGGCAGGAAATCTTTCGACATCGGGCCATCCGTTCTAGCAACCCGCCTGTACGTTCCACGTGCCTCCTGGTGTAATGGAAGGTGTACATCCTTCTATTTAATCTTGCCTCTTATTTTCTGGATCTCAACTCTTCCTTTCTGCCATCTCAGGGATCCTGCCTCTCCTCCTCTTCTCCCTCATCTTCAGCTTCTCCCTCTCTACTCATGTCTTCCCATCAACATTTAAACAAGTTCAGGTCTCCAATATCAAAATTAAGCTTTTAGCCCTGGTGCATTTGATTTTTCTGTTCTGAGTCATTTCTACCACTCTTAGCTCTGTAACATTCTCCTTTTTTCCCTTCTTTTTTTCCCACTACCCAAACCCTCAATGTTGGAGTTCATCAGACCCTGTCCTAGGCCTTGTCTCCTCTACGTATTGACCCTAAGCACCTCTACATTGCCAGTGCTTTGAGTGCTTGTCTATGCAGGCAATTGTCAAGCATATATCTCTGCCTAGACCTCTCTCCTGAGCCTCAGATCCATGCATACAATGGCCTGTAGGGTTATCAGGTTTAGCAAGTAAAAACATAGGATGCCCAGTTAAATTTGAATTTCAACTAAACAATGAAAAAATGTTTTAGCATGAGTTTGCCCCTTGTAATATTTAGGAAAGATTTATCCTAAAAATTTGTTTTTTTTTTTCCTGAAATTCAGATTTATTCCTTATTTTATCTGGCAAGCCTGCATGACTTGACATCTTTATCGAGGCCCCACATTAACCTCCACTCCACATATCCACAATTGAACTTCCCATGGGACAAACTCGACCATACACTGCATCATATAAGTGAAAAAAAGCAAAGTTGTCCCTGGCTCCATTGCTCTTCTTTAGATCCTGAATCCTCCTAAATGTCCCTAAAATCTGACCACTCCTCTCCAGTGACAGCCATCACCCTGAAGAGGCCACCATCATCTTCTACCCACCACAATGTCCTCTCTTGTCCCTAATATGTGATTGCCACATAGCAACCCAAAATATCTTATTGAAATGCACATTTTTATCATGGTTCTCACTGGTTTAACTTCTAAAGTTTGAAATCCTTACCACCACCGCCTCTTAGGCCCTGCATGTCTCGGCCTTTGCCCACCTCTCCCTCCTCTTTATGGGTCACTTACTCTACCATCTACAGCCACTCTGAGGTTCTTTTAGCAGTCTTGAGCCCACTCTTGACTCGGGCCTTCCCACATGCTGTTACCTCTGCCTGGAACAATCTTTTCTCTCTCTTTTCCTCTTACCCATTAATAATCCCTTAAGTCTCAGCCCCTGTCCTTCACTCCCTGTACTCAATCTTGTGTTTCTCTTTTGGAACACTTCGCACTCTCTCCTCAGCTGTTCATGCCTGGTCCTTCATTAGACTGTGAGTTCCCTGAGAGCAGGATCCTGTCTGTCTTCTACTCCCTAACACGGTCCCTAGCCCAGAGAAGGAGCTCAGTTAATATTTCAGGGGTGAACGAGAGAGCAACCTGTCTTCCCATTCAGCCTGGGAGGTCTCCTCTTATCTTCCTATGAGCTCTCAGCACAGAGCACTCCCCAGGACTGAAATGTTTCCAGGTGGACTTAGAGTTTACCCACCACTACATTTCCCAGTGGGACATCTCAGTCCTCCAGGTCCAACTTCAGTAACCCAGACCCAGCCAGAGTTGTCTCAATCCTGCATGTCAATAGGGGAAAGCAGAAGGCAGGGTGGCCAGAGACGAGGAAGAGCAGGTAGCCTCCTGCAGAATGATGGCAGGCCTGATGCTGGTAAACTGAGGCCAAGACCCAGCCATGAGGGCAGCCTTATCTCCAGGCCCGGCTCCTGAAGTGTGACCTCCAGCATGGTGACCCAAGTGTCATGGAAGCCCCTCAACAGTGGATGTGTTGAGCCTGGGGATTGCAGAGGGCTTCCAATTACACCTGTCCAGCAGGCTTTTGCAATTGAGGGCCTGGAATTGAAGGAGCAATCAAGGCTGTAGAGTCACCAATGAGCAAATGACCATCGAAGCTGCATGAGTGGTGAGAATGCCCCAGGGAGACCATGGGGGTGTCCAAGGAGATGAGATCGATGACAGAATTTGGGAGACGCCTGGCTTAAGGGATTCAAGGAAGAAGAGTAAACTATAGAAGAAATAGAAAAAGAGGAACTAGAGCTGTAGAAAGAGAATCATGAAGGTGGACGGGCTGGGAGCCCAGGAGATAAGATTTAAAGAAGCAAAGATTGAGCAATAGTCAACTGCCCTAGAGAGGGTGAGGTCTGAGAAGTGGAAGCTGGGGTTGGAAAATGGGACGTCGGTGGTGACCTTTGAAGAGAAAAAATTTGCTTCTCTCTCTGGTTCCAGCCCCTTCTACCTTCACTCGGAATGCTTTCCCCTCCGTGTCCCTTTCTATAAGTGAGGGAACCATTTAGGATTTGGGGAGTAGTCAGGAAGAGGGAGAAAGTCAACCCCAGGCAAGCAAGCTCACGGCTTCTGTGTCTGGTCTCCAGAGCCTGTGACTGCTGAGGAAGGTGGTGGGATGGCCGCCACCTTTCGGAGGCTAATGGTCTAGGAGAGCTTCTAGAGCTGCTGCTCAGCTTTGCCCCTGCTCAGGCCAGGGGACTTCCTGGACGGCCCCCTTTTCTTGATCAGGCTCCTATAGGCTGCATCCTTCTCTGTTTCTCCTTGCCAGCACCCACTCTTTGGCCTGGAGTTTGCCTTTCACCTCCCCTTCTCAGAGTCCCAGAACCTGCCTGCAGAGAGGGCCACAGTCTCCCCAGGTTTCCACTTTGTTCTATCCCCCAAGACAAGCCTACAACATCTTCCTCTACTTACATCTACTTCAGGGAAACAAGCAGCAAAACAAGCAACCAATCAATCCAACCCGGGGTTGGGAGTTAGGAAGTTTGGCAACCGACCAAAGCTCTTTCAGCTGTGTGTGGTTCCTGGCGTCTCCTCCCGATCCCTCCCGGGAGCCTCCATGGGCCTTGACCTCATGGCTTTGTTCCTGAGGGTAAGGCCTCCTTCTCCTCTCCACCCCAACTCAGATATGCTTCCCAGCCTTCTGCCCTTTGCTTCAGGGGGTACTCTAGCCCTCGGAGCCCTCAGGCCTGAGGGACCCCCATTCTACAGAACCTCAGGCTCATTCAGGAGTATCCCAATGGGAGGCATTCTCTCTTAGAAGAACACAGGGCAGATTACTCTTTCATACTAATATCTTATAATTAACACTTTTATCATGACACTGCCAAGAAACTTCCAGTGTGGTTCCCTGTTGCCTGGGATCTGAGTGGGAAATCCTTCACTGATGCTTCACTCCATCAGGGCAGTCTCTGGGGGGGACAAAGTACCTCCCTTTGGGAGGAGAGCAGTGAGAGAGAGTCCACTAATTTCTCTGCCCCAGAGGCCCCACTGAACCTGGGCATGTCCCCTCCCCAACACTGCCCCACCATGGGCCTCCAACACACGAGGAATGGGTTTTTGGACAGGTAGGACAAAAGGTGTGCTGGAGTAAGGAATGAGCTGCCTGGGCTCCTGTGTGGCCAACTCCGGATGGCTTCTGCTCCAGCCTAACCCATTTTCTTAGGCCTCTGAACACTCTGGACCAGAAAGGGCCAATAGACTTACTTCTGCTTTCCAGCTTTAACCAATCAGCGATGGCAACATTGAGAATGACTATGCATTCAGAGACTGTGGGAAAGAGTATGGCCATCAATTCACAATGTCTTCCGTGGACAAGGGATGGAAGAGAGGTGTCACGTATGCCGTGTATTTGCCAAAACTGATCTCTGCTCTTTCAGCCTCCCATCCTTAACTCAAGCAATTCCTCCTTCCTGGGAGCCCCCCACTTCTCTCCCTGTCCAAATGCTTTTAAGACCAAGATTCTTCAGGGGCGCCTGGGTGGCTCAGTTGGTTAAGTGTCTGCCTTTGGCTCAGGTCATGATCCTGGGGTCCTAGGATCAAGCCCTGGGTTGGGCTCCCTGCTCAGCAGGGAGTCTGCTTCTCCCTCTCCCTCAGCCCCTCCCCCTGCTTGTGCTCTCTCTCTCTCTCACTCACTCTCTCTCAAATAAATAAATAAATAAAATCTTTTTTTTTTTTTAAGGACCCAGATTCTTCAAGAAGCCTTTTTCTCATCTGCACTGATTAAAGATAATGACTGTTGAGGGACATTTGGTTTGTTTTTAGTTTCTAGAGGGGACGAATAGAGCTGCTGTAAGCAATAAATACATAAGTAAATAAATAAAACCCCCCAAAAGGTAATGACTCTTCTGCTCATTTGACATTAAACCCAGGCTGCCTTGTCAGGGGAAGTTCATTCTGGAGGGTTTATGTGTTCTCTCCCTTAGGAGACTGGGAGCTTCTGGGGGGCAAGGTTCACTGGTACCACTTGGTCTCTTGCTGAGGAGCAAGGCACAGAGCTCAGAGAGTTTGCTGAGTGGAAAACATGTTTCTACACAGGAGAGACCAGAGAGATCCTGGCCTGGGGCGGGGGGGGCAGCTGACAGTTGGGTGTGCCTGAGCTGAATACTCAGAGGGGTGCTGCAGACCCTTGGGTTTAGTCAGACTGGAGGCCTTTCCCTAGAAGTCAGTTTCAAAATCAGGGCGGGACCTGTCTGGTGAGAGGAGGTGGGGAAGTTTCAGCTCTGGGGAAAGTGTGAAGGTTCAGAAGCGGGAACTGCAGCATCTGCTGGGGGAAATCTCACCAGAGAAAAAGTCTAGTCCTTATTCCTTCTCGCACATGAGACCATATGCACATTGCCATGTTGCTTTCCAGGTTTTCCTGCCTCTGCACCATATTGCCCCAAACCATGTGCGCGGGCCGCCCCCACGCTGATCATCAGCCCGCTGGTGGAGAAATTGAAGATGTCAGTGGTGCCCTGGGGGTGGTGGCCAGCAGTGCAAGTGGCCCGAGAGCTGTCAATTCAGGGATGGAGCTGAGATGTCACCGGCCTCACAGAGTCGTGATTTATGGGAAGATATTCTCTAGCCTCTCTGCTGGCCCGGTTTTGTAGGGGCGCTGTGTGTGTGTGTGTGTGTGTGTGTGTGTGTAGGGGAGGGGTGGAGGGGGCAGGGGGGAGGGGTGGTAGAAGGAAAGAATGGAAATAAAAGACCAGATGCCTGCTGTCTCCGCTGTGGCTAGGACCCTCCCCCACGGCCTCCTATTGTATTCGGTCACCAGTGCTTTGCTATTTAACCATTCTCACCGCGATCTGATTTGTGCGCGCGCTTGCTTCCCCTCCCCTCCCATTTTACAGGCCCCTGGAAAGCAGACACTGGTTCTATTTCTGCTGTCTGCCTCCCCCACCCCAGGCCAGCTCCTAGCCCCGCACGGGGCTCCCGGGAAGCCTGGAGGCATGCCAGTGGCTGAGCCGACCAGCTGGCCGAGCGGAGAGTAGCAGGGGTTAATTAATCCTAGAAGGAAGGCCTCCTAGAAAAGTCCCAGCTGCCTGCTCCCCGAGGGCCCACAAAACTTCATCGTCGCAGCCTCTGTCAGCCCAGTGCCTCCGCGTGCGGGACCCTGCCGCTGCTGGCTCTGGCTGGCCTGTCCCCTCCGGCCTCTCTGGGGACACATCGCTGGCCTTCGGTTCCGAGTAGGTCAGCTGGTTCTGTCAACTGGCTGCTCCAAGGCCCATCTGAATGAATTTGGCCCTTCCCAGTTTTGCAAGTCCCATTCCTACCAACGTCTCCCGCCTTGCCTTCCTGCCCAGCCTGGGCCTCTGAGCTGTGGCCTCAGCCTGTTTCTTCTCCAGGCCTTCCTGCGGGCCCCTCTCTCACCGAGCAGAATTTGCTGGGCCCTGGCTCTGGGGGGTGTGGCAATGACCTCGGTAGCGGTAAGAGGACAGCAAGGAGTCCTGGCCTCTTCCAGCTCCAAGTCCACCAGGGTGACCAGAGCACATTGCGAAACCCTGCGAAGCATGCTCGCTTGCTTGACAAGCACCACATGTGTACAGAGAGCGCTGGGCCTGGCCCAGCCTGGGCTCTGCTGGGTGGGCTGGGGTCTGGGAGGAACCCGTGTAAAAAAATGGGAAGAGGATTCTTCCAAGAGCAGGGAGAGCCAACCAGTTCAGCCCCTCACCAGCTGTGTGACTTTGGACAAGTCACCTAACCTCTCTGGATTCAGGTTCTTTTTTTTATTATTATTATTTAAAGATTTATTTATTCATTTCAGAGAGGGATGGGGAAGGGAAGAGGGAGAGGGAAAGAGAGTCTCAAGCAGACTCCACGCTGAGCACGGGACCCGAGATCATGACCTGAGCTGAAATCAAGGGCCAGGCACTTAACGGACTGAGCCGTCCAGGCAGCCCTGGATTCGGGTTCTTCATCCATAGACGAAGGCTCCCTGATCTAGGATTCTGACAGTGCATGGCACAGAGCTGCAGCCCAGCTGCTAGACAGAGAGAAGGTCTTTGAGTACCCAGTGAGGTGGAGGCAGAGGTCCAGGCCAACAGGGATGGGCATGTGGCATGTGATCCTAAGTCAACTTCCCGTGATCAGGAGGTGCAAAGGGTCACCCCTGAGAGGCCGTGGGGGCTAGAACCACATTCTCAAGTCTGGAGACCAGGTGCCTCAGGCCCGAGCATCACCCCAGTGCTGTGTCCCCCACTCCAGCCCCACAGCTGCAGTAGGGAAGGACAGAGGAACCCTAGCTGGGCAGGAGGTGGGCGGCTGCAGGAGCCACATCAGCCCCAAGCAGTCCAAACAAAGATGAGCTCTCTCCCCTCAGCTTGAGGCTGTTTCTTTGCAAACACCAGTGTTTGCACTAGCTAGTGTCCTCCTGCCACCTGGGCCAACAGAGGCTGTCTGTGTGCCTTGCCCCCCGCCCCCCACCCCCGCCCTTCCCGGGCTCTGGCTCTGGCTGCCAGTGGGGCCTCTTGCATGGATGCAGCCGCGGGCTCTTTGTAGCAGCTCTCTGCACATGGAATCTGAGCAATGGAGTGGTCAGTGGCAATTTGGGAGGCAGTTTAGAAGGGCAGGATTTGGGCTAGCCGACAGCATGGTAAGCAGGCAAAGTGCGTGTCCTGTTACATCCCGGATGCTTGACTCTGAGCACGCTCAACATCCCCCTACCCCTATCCCCGTCTCAGGGCCATGATGGATCAGTGCTGGAAATCTAGGGCTCGGAGCGCCTCCGAATTGGCCTCCTGAGGTCCTGAAGCCCTGAATCCAGATCAAACCTCTCTGAAGCTTTGGCAAGGTCAGTGTCCCTCTGCGAGTTCAGACAACCCCTTTCTTGCAATTCTCTCCTTTGGCGTAAGCACTTTCTATACAGAACCTCATCAAGCAGGTGACTACCCCACCAGTCCCAACAACCAAAGAAGAGAGTGTTTTCTTCTCCACCGGAGAAACTGGGTAGGGTCCAGGGGCATGGGCAGAGGGGAGACACTCAGAGAAAGGGGGAAAGGAAGTGGAAGAGGTGGAGGCTCAGCAGCAGGACCAATAAAAATATCCAGGCTCCCCCCTTGCTGAGAGGGAGCCCTGGAGGACAGGTCCCTGGCTTTGGAGCAGAGGTTTTGGGGTGAGACAGGGAGAGGATGGGTCTAAGCGTATCAGAGGGGATAGAGGTTGCCCCATTCAGTCCCAGGACCACCTCCTAAGGAGAGAGGGACTCTTTCTTGCTCACATGCCCAGTCCTGGTCTGCTCTCTGGCCCAAAGGACAGGGACGTCAAAAACATCCCAAAGCTGTGTCAGTGTGGCACCCCTTCCCATTCCCAAGGCTTAGGTCATCCCTGCAGGCTTGCCCCCATCCCAGGACTGGCTGAGAGGCTCCAGAGAGGGTGTGGCCTCTGGTAAGAAAGCCAGATTGACCCAGAACTGCTCCTCAGCAGACCTGTGGGCTCAGTCAGGAAGGAGGTGTCGTGGGGGCTGAGGAATGGGCACTGGACATGTCAGAGACCTTGGGCCTCGGGAGCCTTGAAGTCGGGCAGCGGAGGGTACAATCAGGGACCCCAGCTGTGCAGGGCCAGGCTCAGGGACCCCTCTGAACCTCTCTTGACCTCTCTGAACTTCAGTTTCGCTCAACTGGGGATGGATAATCCCTATGAGAAAGCAGCGTGTGTGTGTGTGTGTGTGTGTGTGTGTGTGAGAAAGTGCCTACCACAGATTTAAGTGTTTATACATGTTTAAAGCCTCCCTTGTGACTCAGGCAGGCAGCAGGTTTTCATGTCTGACTCCTCAGCCACAACTTCAGCAAGGAACCCAGAAACCATCCAGAAGCTCCTAGCCTGGGCTCGCTGCTAGGTTGGCTCTTGGCAGCCTTGGACCCAGCCCTGGACGGGCAGAGCCCTGCACTGTGATATGTGGGAGAAGCACCTCAGTGTCTTATTTGAAGTCACCCTTAAAAAGAGCACAGGGGGGCGTCTGGGTGGCTCAGTCGATTAAACGTCTGTTTAATCAGGTCATGATCCCAGGGTCCTGGGATGGAGTCCAGAGTCTGGCTCCCTGCTCTGCCAGGAGTCTGCTTCTCCCTCTCCCTTTGCCCCTCCCCCCCTGCTTGCACGCTCTCTCTCTCTCTCTCTCTCAAATAAATAAATAAATAATCTGGAAAAAAAAAAAAAAAAAGGAGGTCCAGGGCATCACAAGGCTGAGGCAGCAGAGTTCTGACCCTTGAAGTGAGTGGTGCAGGGCTTGTGGATTTCCACCCTCTCAAACGCCCCTCCCTCCCTCCCTCCACACACACACACACACACACACACACACACACACACACACGCACGCTGCCCCCATATCTGAGTGAGATCAGGATCTGATCTCTGAGCCCACGTGTTTTGCCTACAAACTGTGAAAACAGTGGTCTGGGAGGGCAGAAGAAATCCTGAGGGTGGGAAAGCAGCACCCCCAGCGTGGGCGCAGGGATGACAGCGAGGGGTGTTTCAGAGCTGACTGTGTTTGTAGGAATTCCAGATTTGGATTGCAGCAGCTGCTGAGCCTCCCTGCCTTCTCCTCCACCCGTTCCCTCCCTGACTCAGCCCACCTGTCCGCCCAAGGCCTCTGAGGAAGTCCCCAAACATCTTAGTCCTGGCTACCCCTTACTTAATTCCGGATATCCAAATAAGTCTTGAGGTGTATCCAAAAGAAGTCCCCAGCACATAGAAAACATTAGGCCTGGGGAGCTCTGTAGCTTTGAGGCAGATTGGTGTAAGGGGAAGAGGGGGTGAAGTACGAGGCCAGACAAAGTCAGGCGAGGTGAAGGAACTGCTGTC